TATTTTTTTTTTTTTTTTTTTTTTTGGTAGCAGGTATTGAACTCAGGTCCTTGCTCTTGAGAGGCAGGCAGCAGAACCACAGAGCTAAATCCCCGGCATCATATGGTAATTCTCTATCTCCTTTTTTTTTATACAAATAAAAATAATCGAATTGTTGGGAAAACTGTGATTAAAAACTCAGCCTAACTAGAGTGTATCAATTTGATTCCATTCTAATAAACGGAGCCTCTGGTTTTGCTTTGTTTTTTCTTTTCTGCAATAGTTGAGATTGAGCCCAGGGCCTCTTGCATGCTAAACAAGTTGGCTGCTCCAGCTCCAGCTTTATTTATTTATTGTTTAAATTTTGAGATACAGTCTCAGGAAATTGCCTCAAACTTGTGATCCTCCTGCCTCATCCCTCTGGAGTAGCTGAATCTCCAGGTTGTGCACCATGGCACCCCGCTTAGAGTCTTTCTTCTTGAGGTGGCTTGAGACACACACTGAAGAGCTGGAGCTGTCCGCCCTGAGCAAGCTTCCTGTGAAGACACGGGCCTCACGCGGGCGGGGTCTCCCGGGTCCACACCGGGAACCAGGGGCAGCCGAGGAGAACCGGAGCGCGCTGGGCAGGGAAACCTTGAGAAGGATGACGGCTTGGGGCTGGGGGATTTGTGAGCACGAAACCCAGGCCTCAGTCCCGAGTTATTCCCTGGCATCAGAAGGTCACAGGTGTAAAAAACAACAAAAAAGGTCACAGGCGGCTCCAAGCGGATGGTTCAGAGTTGCAGGTGGCTGGAGCTGAGAGCACAGCTGCCTGGAAGGCCCGAAGTTCACTGCGATCGCAGCTGCGTGAAGGCTTGGCTGGTCCTCAGTGTCCCCTGGGACATCCTGTCGGAACTTCGTTCTTTCTGCACAGCTCAAAACACCTTTTCTGCGTGCACCTCCAAGGGTCAGGGCTGCCTCGGCATGTGGGCCGGGGGGCGGCGGGGGGAGTAACCGTGATGTATGAGGCCTTCCCCTCTATCACATTAAAATGGAAACACCCTGCAGGTGGAAAATAGTTACCCCCCCCAGGTCCCCCCCCACAAGGAGTTTCTCTGTAGCTCTGTCTTCCTTTTGTTTTGAGACAGGATCGCACATACGTAGTTCAAACTGGCCTTGAACTCATTATGTAGTCCAGTCTGGCCTCAAACTCACAGCAACCCTCCTGCCTCAGCCTCCCAAGCACTGGGATTGTAGACAAGTGCCATGATGACCAGCTTCTCCAGCCTTTTCCAAGATGCATCAGATGGAGGAAGAGGAAGGGTTGTTCTAGAGTCAGTGGCCTCAAGAAGGGTGCCATGGTTGGCCATTTTCTATGGAGCTGAGGAGTGGCTGTCACCGAAGTCCTGGGCATGTAGGGTCTTGGTGACTGTAAAGTTTCCTGCCCACACAGGTTCTGGGTGACCTGCGCTCACAGCTCCTGGCTACCTCTGGAGGGGACCCCAGAGTAGGCAGGACTTTCCAGGGATCTCTGGATCTTGGTTTCTCAGCCAGCTCCCTTCTTTCCACCTTGTACTCTCCAGTACTTGCTGGATTCTGTCCCTCAGGCCTGCAGGCCTCAACCTGGTTACAAAATTCAACTAATCTCTGATCCTCCTTCCTAGGCCTCCTAGAACTTGTTCTGATTCACACCTTGGTTCTAGGCCTGGTGTCAGGGCTTGTGGCCTCTGTGTGGAGCATGGCACTGGTAGGTTTGCACACTAGGGACTCACTGCATACAGGGACCTGGGAAGGCTGGCCTCCTAGGATGTTGGCCTCTCTGGCCACTGTAGGTGAAGGCCCTGGGGTGAGGCCCTGGATCCAGGTTAAAGCTCTTTTCTACTTGGACATGGCCTAAGTTCCTCTGTAAGGTGGGCTGAGGAGGGTCCAGGAGCCCCAGCGGCCGTCACAGCTTCCTATGTTGGGTCAAGGCAGAAATGCTCAGTGGATCTGAGCACAACTCTGGAGTTGGAAGGACCAGGCTAAGTGTCGCTTGTGGGGTTTTAGCATGTCCCCTTACCTCTGTGAGCCTCACTTCTCCTAACTGTGAAATGCAAGAAAGTGCCCAGCATGGTAGTGCAGGGCTGTAATCCCAGCACTCTGGGAGGGTAAGATAGGAAGACCACAAGTTCAAGGCCAGTCTGAGCAATTTATTCTCTAAGCAAGACCCTGTCTCAAAATAAAAAGTATAAAAAGGGCTGGGATGTAGCTCCATACAAAGGCCCTGGGTACAATCTCTAGTATGAAAAGAAAAATAAAAAAAGAAAAGACCAGTGCAGTGGCGCCTATGATCCCAGCTCTTAGGAGGTCAGGGTGATAGGATATTTTCAAGATCACAGCCAGCCTGCACTATATAGTGAAACCGTCTAAAAAAAAAAAATCAAAAGAACTATGGAAGAACTATACCTGCTTCTTAGGGTTAAATAAAATGATCTGAACTAAATGCTTGGAACAGTCTTAGGCAGATAGTGATCTTTCACTAATTTTTTTTTTTTTTTTTTTTTTTTTTTTTTT